TTGTACGGCCAGCCAAACTCCCCCCCGGGCCTAGACTCCCGCGTAGCGGTAATTTACACCAGCGGGCGAAGGGCACTTGCGGCCCGGAAAACGAGTTTGGCTTCCAAGGTATCTAACTGTCTTCACCATGCCCCACAGGTTCGTTCCTGCTGTCCCTGCCCATCGCCTTCTTCATGCAGGTCCTGGAGAGAGACTGGTACGGCAGGAAGCTCTTCTGTATGGAGGAGTTTCCCTCCGAGGACGAGTTCCGCGCCTACATCATCTACACCGTCCTCATCAGCTACGTCATCCCCCTGACGACCAGCGTGGTCAGCCACTGCCTCATCCTGCGTTACCTGGCAACCATGGCCGTCACCACGTCAGTGGCGCAGCAACACGTCATGGCCAGGAAGAAACGGGTGAGAGAACTACTGGGAGTTGAAGCCCCCCCCCCCCCCGGCAACACACTCACACACACATACTGCAGCGGTCCCCCTTGAAGTACTGTAGGTACCCGCTAGGTGGCCCATTTTAGAACTTGACCTTCGTCTTTGCAACCCCTGTACATCTGCTAAATATCATGGACAGTCATTCATAGCTTCTCGAGTTGGGGTTGTACACATACATAGAAAACACACATGCAAACACAGTCCGCTGTATTACCACAACAGCTACTCACCTACCTAATATCATTGAGATCCATTCACAGCTTCTGGTGCTATGCTGTTGTAATTCAGACCCCCATAGCTTGAACATTCACTGCTGCAACATGGTCAAAACGAAAACACATTTTCACCCTTCTGGCAAAGGCAGATATACCGTTATGACGAATGGCTAAACTTTATCTTCCAACACTGTGTTGGAAGATAAAGTCATAATGAAGTAAACCAACACAAATGAACTTTCATGCGCAGATATGTAATGATATGTTCTTCTGCGTTCCGATTAATAATCGTTACATCTGCCCTTCAGGTGACCCGCATGGTGGCTACGGTGGTGACCCTGTTCGCGTTGTGCTGGGCGCCGAACCACGCCGCCAACCTGTGGTTCGCCTTCAAGCGGGAAGGTCTGTCCGGGGGTTTCGGCACCGTCACCGTGTGGCTGAAGATCTCCGCCCTCTGCCTCAGCTACGCCAACTCCTGCGTCAACCCCTTCGTCTACGGCATCATGGGAGACAGCTTCCGCAAGGCCTTCGCAAAGTCCTTCGGGAAGGAGGACTCCCAGACCGCGATGTCCGCCATGACACCCCGGACCCTGAAGACCACGAAGGCGGATGAGATCGCGATGGTAAAGTTAGGGGGTGGGGAGACTGCAGCTGGGGAGGATAAAATCACTGTGTTGAATGTGGAGCAGAATGAGGATGTAGAGAAACAAGAAGATTTGTTGTAATTCACTGCACGAAATTCTATCTTTAAGTCCACCTGAAAGCAAGCGTAAATGTTAATTTTTTTCACTCTAGTGTTCATTTTCGGATGCTTTAAACTGTGCTTAAAGATTGGAGTTCTCGCAGTGTAAGATAACTGTATTACAACAATGGCCCGGGCTACTTTCTTTGGGTGTATTTTCCCAGCATTGTGGTAAGGTGGTGTTTTGGTAAGGGTTGTTGACTTGATTGCTGAAGGTACTGGGTTCCAACCACTGGCAGGTCCCAGTGTTGTTTTGTGACCTTGAGCAAGGCACTTGAAATCTATTTTTTCACAGATGAAAATGTGTATCTATCTCTGGTTAGGGGCGTCCTGTTTAATGGAGGTCCCGTGTTTGAGGAGAGCCACACCTCAAGCACGTTAAAGATCCCACCACACTTATCAAAAAGAGCAGGGGTCCTTTTCGGTGTGAGTGGTTCAAACCTTACCGTCTGGTCTCTATTTTGACACATTGAAACATTATGTTATGTCACAAACGTGGTATATACTAATAAATAGATAACAGAAATATGATTTTAGTCGCAGTAAGTATCATATTTGTTCGTATTTGTGAATATCATATATATTAGTTTGCTAACAATCACTCGCAGTTGCAATATTAACCTTACGTGTATTTAAAATATAAGAATATTTTAATCAAGATTTCTTCGTTCGTTTTCGAGATCTGTTAGATATTACGTCTGTAAGTGTTTTATCGTATTTACTTTACAGACGTATTGAAAAAAATAGTTTTTGAAGAATATATATGTATAAAGATTTATTCGTACTTGTAAAGTGATTTATAATCAAGATCTGTTAGAGATATTACTATTGCCGTTTTATCGCACTTATGATAACACTTCTGTGACGAATATGACGTATTGGCACCTTGTTCTTAATCAAAATTTTGGATTAACTGTTATTATTTGATAATCGGATAAGCAATTTTGTCTCGTATATTTTGATCAGAATTTGTTAGCACTTTTAGAAATGATTTTCAAAATATGATTATATTGGATATTCAATCATAATCATGCGGATAATTCAAACGAACAGTTTTTGGCACTTGGTGAGTATTTCTTCGCACTTCAAAGAGTTTTTCATCCAAGTTTTTCACCTTATTCAGAATTATTATTAAGTATCGTTCTTACCTGTATGCACCTATGTTTACTAAATATTGTATCGATGTCGGTTAGGAACTTTTGAGCCATTCTTTCAAGAACCGAAATAAAGATTTCTGTTCACTGAATGTTATTTGCCGTATTGTCATAAATGAACTGAAACTGAAATAGAAATAAGCACTATTAGCTCAATCTACCACACAACTAGGGCACCATTCCACCGGTAGCGGTACCTGGTGTAGCCCCCGGCCTGGCTCTGAAGTCGGGAAGATACTAGTCATAATTAGGCCACACCAATTTAATTTGTTGGTTCTCGGATTCGCCTCTTCGTTTTTTTCTGATTTGCAAAAAAAAAAAATTGATTCTGGTCCTGAATCAACTGAAAAATGCTCATGTTTTGCCCCAAAACAGTTGAGCAAAGTCTTTTTCTTCCTAGTTGTTACAGTTTTCCCATCTATCATTGCAGTGGTTTGATTAAAAGTTCAAAATTCAATGTTTAAATTTTAACCCAGTCTTTTGTGTTGACTTCATGGCTAATTTTGTAGCATTTAAGCCTATAATGGGATGCCTAGACCTGTTTTTATTTTTTATTTTTTTCGCCCTGTCGCTTCATATTTTTTCTGAAAAAATCCGAGAACCAACAAATTAAATTGGTGTGGCCTTAAGACCCCGTTTACATTTAGCGTGAGCCCATAGTAATGATACCCTGTAGGACTGACGGACACAGGGAGGGGAATTGCCGGGGTCATCACGAGTTTTTTAGGTTGGGGCGTATCTGTGGCCCCGGGTTGATTTTAACATCCAGTTAAAAAATCAGCGAGAATGGTCTGGCCTCAATTTTGTCTTAATTCAATTCTGAATCAATTTGTTTTATTTTATTAAACGCTTAATTGAAATTCCAACGACAGTACAAAGGCTACCCAGAGAGTGTCGCTAATGTCGGGCACATTCTAACATAATTAGACGTTTACAAACATGATTAATAACACTAAAACATCAAAACATTCATACCGTAAACATGTAATGTAAGAAAACAAATAACATCAAGTTTTCGTATGAAACAAAGTTCACACTAGTAGGAGTAGACTTAATAGATATCTATCACAAGTGGTTGCCAAAACGCCAATAATTTGTACTGCACGAGGACGGAACATACTTCGCGAAAATGGCCTTAACATCATTTTGTAAACAGTTGGATACTCCATTCTGTATTGGTGCTGACGTTAATTTTACCAGGTGGCATGCGATATCCATCTTCTGTAATAAGCAACAACTGCTCAGGAAATTAGCTATACGGGACACCCACCGTTTAATGACGTGCATTTTTTTTTACTGAATAACGTATTTTAGCAGTAGGTATCAATGGCCATAATTCACAGGAAATTGGCTACCAGATACATGATAACAATGACGTTTGTTGGGACAGAACATGCTTTGATATGTAAGTACTTAGATGGTCTAACGATGACTGAAGGGAATTGTGATTTTGTTAATATTCTCCGCCGAGACTCGAGCTCCTTATCCGTTTTAGTTTCATTCCACGAGTAACAAGAAGGAGAGGTCACCATTCTTATCGATAATTTGGAACGGTAATTTGGACACGATTATGGATCACGATTATGATTTTGAAATTTGGTTTGTATATTTCTTTTCAGTCATTTATAATATTATATATGTTGTATCATTTGTTTAATTTGATTTTCGGTTATACTGATCTCAGTTAACATTTATCAGTTATGTTACTTGATTGTATACATTATATTTACTTTTATACAAATTGTTTTATGTTTATATGTCCCTGGGCCCTCTTTAAAATCAACAATTTACTGTTGAAGAGGCCACCCAGGTGTTTAAGATGAAATAAATAAATCGAGAACTCCTCGCTCAGCTACCTGAATGAGCCTTCGTCCCTCCTCGATGGTCCTGAAAATTTGAAACACACTGTAAATTCAATACATTTCGAATAGATGGGGCTATACAAAGAAATCTTTTGGCTCATTCAGCCTCTATTGCGGAGGAGGCTCAAGTGTTTTCTTGCCAAGGAGATCGCGAGATAACAATACGCGACCTGCTCTGTCAATCACAGCGTTCTCTAAGCAGTATGGATCTGGGAGACCATCGGCAGACCACCAAAAAAGGCATGATAACCTCCACTACCATAAACCAGTTCGTCATCACTGTGACAGTTGACCTAAATGATTACATCGACGGAACAATTTAATCCTTTACAAACATGCAGTAGGGAATAAGTTCTACACCTAATTAGTACGGGCTCGACGATCTGTTTTGCTGATGTCGCTGACATGTTCAATACATCATTTTTTTCCGTGTGTAATAATAAGTGCACAGAAGAGGATACCTCGTTGTCTGACTTGGATGAAATTAGGAAGTACAAAACATTTCTACGGTTTAATACGTTCACATGTCCCCGTGGAGGAATTGGCAACGCAAATTGCACTGGTTCAAAGTCCGCAGGCGCGAGTTCGATCCCTGCCTGGGTCGGCGACATGTTGAGAGGGGTTGCAGTCATTTCAGATGGTGACATACATCCGGTGGCCCCGTGTATCAGAGGACTTCAGGCGTAAAACATTTGCACATAAAAGAATCCAACACTCTTATCGAGAAGAGTATGGGTGACCCTGTGTGGTTAAAACATGACCTGTAGCCAAACCGCATTGCAGTAGCAGCTTGTAGCTTTACCTTTTTCTTACGTTAACTGTCAGCAATGTTCTCTCTATCCTGTGGATGGAAGTCACTATAAGGTCACTAACCCCGACGACCTACCAGCTATGAGGTCACTAAAGCGTGCAAGTCATTATTCACCTAAGTCTTCTTTCAAGAAGCTATTTGGTCTATGTTTAAACAGCGGGGATATCCTGCGTATGTGGCAGATAACAAATGATGCTGTTTTTGAAGAGTGTATAAATAGACATGGTTGTTCACGACGCATTTGTATGTTATATTCCAGTCAGAGACTGTAAATGTTTAAGTGCCTGGACGAAAATGGCAGACAGGCGTCAGAACTCTTGAGTCATTTCTCATGCCGTTCTTTAAGGAAGTAGCGCCCCGCCTACTCGGATTTCTTCAGAACAGGGCAGAAGAACGTCATTTGCAGCTTGATGATCCTGGAACGTACAGGGAACGTCTTGTTAGGTCAGTAAGCTACATCGAAATGACCCATTGCACCTTACTCTTGTGTTTAAATGCAAACCTTGTATTGAATACTGTACATTGTTCAGTCGCCATGACTAGTCCTTATAGTATTCGGCTAGTTGGGTACGGTTGTCCTACATATCTTAATATTCACTTCAAATTCGTTCCTCGTTACAATAAAAGGAAACTGCTATATTGTTTTCAATATAAAGTAAATGACGCCACAGAGTTTCAAAAGGCTTTGTGTTGAATGTAAAGTTGTACGGTTAACTGTTGGGGCATTTCATTAGCGCCGACTATCACATACTATTGGTACTGCAGGTACGATGACGACATAGAGCGGTCATTGCAGATGAGAATCGAAGCATTTTAGGCCTGCACTTTATGTGTTGTAATCCTATAAATGGCTGGTATGTGTTTAATTTGATATGACAAATAGAATGCAGTAGTAATGTGACTTTTGCTCATTAAATATTTTTGGTATGTGATTATCAAGAATATTTTAATACATCGCGCCTGGACTACATGTAGGCGCTCAGTAATCAGAAGTTCCGATAGAACATAAGGCGTAAGGCGCGACACATAGCGAAATAATTGCAAATTGCACTGGTAGCAAGCTAAACCACAGACATGACGCTGATATGAATTTTATTTTAACGCAAACACCAGCCAACCACAGCCGACTTTGCCCTTGGTTGGCTAGGAGGTTTATGGGTTAGGATTTTTTGGGCTGACTACAAGAAACTAAGCTGGGTGTCAATTGGGTACAATCCACCAATCCTCACCCGTAGGCTTGTGGAGGATAGTTGGTAGGCTGTGTAGCCTTTGCAGTATGAAGGGCAAATAGACAAAATGAAGTTGAAATTCAAGTTAACGTATTTGTCTAATATATATAGCTACATTTTAACTTGTGTATTGTTTTGTGTATCTACGTTAGGGCACAGCAAGTAAATTTTATGGATGACATTCTCCGCAGACTCCAAATCTAATGCGATAGGGCGAAAAAAACAAGGCGGACCAAAAAACAAGATTCCTACATTTTCAAGTGTTGACATCATAAACCTTGTCAAACAAGAAATGATACCACTACATAAAAGGAATGAAATACATCACTGCATCAATTAATAAAAGTAAAAGACAAAACATTAAATCCTTGTTTTTGCCCCCTCTCTCCATATTTATCTGCCATCCACGTTCTGGCATGGCAACAGACATCCTTGCCCATTTTCGGCATGTTGACCAGTATCGGAGGGCAACAGAATTTCTCACCCCCCCCCCCAACCCCCCCAAGGCGAAAATTAATGCGCAAGCGGATGTCATCCATAAAGATTACTTGCTGTGGCCTTAGTCATACGATGTACGAACTGGATCTTCCCGTAGCCCATCGAGGCATGAATACTGTGAAGGTATTTCATAATCAAAATCTCGCCAGCGCGAGATATCAGCTGGTACAATGTTCATTCACGCAGAGTCTTCGTCACGACGACTACTTTCAAAGAAGGACGCCTGCTTTGATATAAGGTGCACGTACACAGCGGATACACCGCTTGTGTCGTCTTCAATCACGAAGACGCCAGATCAAAAATTCTTTGTAGACAGGATATGAACAACAACAAACAGCTTCGCTAATAACCGTCCCGCGGGGAAGAAAGAAGCAAGCTACAGTTTCGTTAAGAGTGACCCGGGGGCGAGGAAATATGACCTGACGTCCTCATCAAACCAGCCCATCCGTGCAAGCAGGAAGGAAACACGTTTTTCACAGTCGGGTGGGCTGCCCCTGCCCTACATTCGGACCGGAAAGTTGAGTGGAGTTCACAGATGGATGCTGTGTTTTTTTGTACATTATTAACTAGTAAGAGCCGTTGTCTTTAGGACTAAACACCAAGCTGTGGCACATTCCTTGCTGTATTTGTTATAAAAAAATAAGAGACAGTCTGTAGTACTATCGACTCGGCAATGGCACAGAATATCACGATGGTAGAGGGGGTCATATTTGGTTACAAAATTTTGGAAGGCTTCAATTTTTGACAATCTTTTGTCCTTTTTTATTGGTTTTCATCTTCGATTGCAAAGTACCAAGGAGCCAAGGAGGATCGACTTTATTGTAGTACGTGATTGGTTGTGTGTGCTGAAAATTTATCGGTGTAAAAAACATCAGGACAGAGAGAAATTGTCTCCTAGAGCACTCCCACAGTTAAGTCAACGGCAGCATACCAGCGCAGACAGTCTTTGAAGTATGGGCTGTTTTATTAGCAGTACGTTTGACATATCTTTTGTGTTAGTGTCTTAACTTAGGGTCGTTGTGTTTCATTATATTCCTGTTACGTAATAGCCATGGCAGCAGGGTAGGGGTCCCTAACACGGACTACAGTCTAGACATGAAATGTAGATGTCTGACAAAGCAATAAAACAGATTAAGGGGTTAGTTCGCCCGGCATCTAGTCGACGAACGAAACAGCCGACGTAGACAGGTATACATTTAGCCTCTTCTAGGACCTGTATCTAGTGGGAAATCAACTATAGAGGCTAAACAATAGTTTCTTAGATCAGACATGAAAAAACTATCTATTCTTCTATTCAGATTCATTGAACGTGTATATTGTACATATGCATGGCTTAAATAAAATATTCCACATATCCGTGAGATACGTTTACATGTGCCGAGAAATATATTTGTAACTGATTATAGGTATTTGGGCAAGTCCCGGGGAAAATGTATTTAAATCTATATTGATTTATCTTGTGATACACATGGATTATCTGGCTTCGAAAGATTTATCCAGCATTCACCATACATTTATCACAGGATATACCCGTCGTTATTCATTGAAAGGAGAGTCATTTCTTTGTTATCGTTTCCCAATGATTGCACTATGCGTCTGGGTGAACCTTTTTTTAGCTGCCAGTCTTGGTAACACTCAAGAGAACGTCAGCAGTTCATCTGAATGGATGGATGAATGGACGGATGGATGGATGAATGGATGGATGGATGGATGGATGAATGGGTGGATGGATGGGTGTGTGGGTGGGTGGGTGGGTGGGTTTTATGGATGGATGGATGGATGGATGGATGGATGGATGGATGGATGGATGGATGGATGGATGGATGACAATGGATGGATGAATGGATGGATGGATGGATGGATAGATGAATGGATGGATAGATGAATGCATAAATGGATGATTGAATGAATGAATGAATGAATGAATGAACAGAGCGAACACTCCTTGAACAGAGATGGAGTTGTATTTTATGTCAATGTAAGCTAGATAATTGGATTTCCTTATATTTCCATAATCTTTAGTTGGTGTTGAAATGACATTATCTTGCCATGACAGGGAACAAAAATAAATGCAGATTTACTGCTGGCATGACAGTGTGCAAAACAAAAACTGACATGCCACCTGTGAATTTGCTTGGGGATTACTGGTCTTAGACCATGTATCTTTCTATATGAATTTCAAATCGAATTTCAGTTAAACTTGAGTCAAATTCCATTGCCAACCACGCTCAGGCCGACTTCCGAACACCAGCCAACCACCGGCCAACCACGGCTGAACCTCCCGTCTATGCCAAAATGTTTGAAACATTGTTGAAACATTCGGCTGGCGCAGCCGAACAGTAGCCGACCTGGCCGAACACCAGCCAACCTTGCTTCGGCCACAGCAAGTGATTTTTATCAGCGCGCGCATGGATTTTTGCCTGATTCTGGAAAAAGAAGAAAAAAAGAAATTTTGTTGCCCTCCGACAGTGGTCAACATGCCGAAAATGGGCAAAGATGTCTGTTGCCATGGCGGAACGTGGATGGCAGATAAATATGAAGAAAGGACAAAAGACAAGCTTAAGGCTCTGATTCACTGTTTTGTCTTTTACTGTGATGCAGTGATATATTTCATTCCTTTTATGTCCATAAAATTTACTTGCTGTAGCCTTATCATCAACAGTTGGGGAAGGGGTGTCAGTGTCAATGTTCAGTTGTGTGCGACAGAGGATTAACTAGATGTGTCGTTCCCGACCATTACCCAACTCCTCCGTTCTTCACTAAAGCGTCTTTTACCCGTTCTCTGTTCAACAGTATCATCGTCACCATCAGTATGACGTCACGTCTTGTCAACGCCTGTTTCGTCTTCCCCAGAAAGAGGACCGTGTGATGATAGCAGGCCCGGGAAGACCTGGTGCGCAGACGCGTGTACTGAGAATAAAAGGCGGGCACGTCCCCTAACGCCCGGCATTAGGACGCCGGCCGGCGCGGGTAGCTAACACCATGGATGCCGTCACACCGCACCCCACCGCCGACTTCACCGCCGCAGCGGGAGGCTGGTTCTCCCCAACCGAGAGCCCGAACGCCACCGGCCCGGTAGAGGGGCCGACCCTGGGGCTGGAGGCCGACATCGTCCCGGCCGTTTTTGCCATCATCTGCATCGCCGGCGTCGCTGGGAACGCTTTTGTCATCTTTATGGTTTACCGGTAGGTGGTTTTGTTGTTATTTTTTTAGTGTTTCAATCTCACCTTTTTAACACGCGAAAACATTTGTGCCTACAGTGCACTTTATTCCTCAAGCTCCCATGTTCTTGTTAAGCGGAAATTCAAAGTTAACCTTGGCAATATAATTCCACTCAATAAACCTCCGTAACTTAAAATCTTGACGATTCATCCCACTAATAGTCCTATTTGTTAATCAGTTTTTCTCACGGGTATCTGTTGAATGTGCAACATGAGGATATATATATAAAATCTTTCTTGGTAATTCCTACGTTACCAATACGAGTACTCTTTACCGGCAATATATCATTCTTAATACACTGCAGACGTCAGCCTTATAAAACAGTCTGACACTCCATCTCACTCAATCAAAAAACGCTTCACTAGAGTCACTTATTACCACCGCGGTCCTTCCCACGCTGCTACCTTATATTATTATAGTCCCATCTAGGATATGGTCTTACGAACATACAATATATGTTGTACTTTCTACTGTAATATTTCTCATCAAAAGCATTAGGGTATTGTTAACATCGCCCCTGATCTTAAAACAGATACCACTTGATGAACTACTGCCATGGGAGTTGCTTGTAATCCCCCAATTTTCTCGTTGTTTATCGACTTTGCCTGAAAGAGTCATCAGTATAACCTCCAACATTCATCACTCAACTCAATCTATGTAATTTATCTCTGGCTGGCGACAAATAAGTGTCCAAATCGATTCCATCGGATGTCTGAGCGACTCTCTGATCGGGGCACCGCACTACAATCAACTCTTTAAGCAATCCTTAAATCATACGTAAAGGTTCATTTTTTTGTCATTTGCCTGCAGCTGTGTCTTTACGTATGTTTTAAAGGGTGTGCTTAAAAATGTAGGATTTCTTGCACTGGAGTTCACTCGTGTTATTGGAAAAAAACCAATACTTTAAGACTGTATGGCCAGTCACCCCAGGCGATACATGTGTACTGTGATCCCCATCGACTTTTCACATTTCACCATGACGCATGTGAATATTCTTTTAACCAAGGACTTGATTTAACGTAGTACTATACGCTGAATTCCTGGGTTAGCGACCCCGGCTTTTAATCTGGACCAAGAGGTTGGGAGTTCGAATCCCGGTTGTTGTCGCTCTCCCGACAGGCATGCCACCTGTAAGAAAACTAGCTAGTGAAATTTGCCCGGTATACAGTGTGCATAGCGTCTGTCTTCTCTAGCTCTGTCCCACCCAGTGGAAGAGTATATAGCACTTCAGTCGGCTTAAGTTGTTCAATCCGGTATAGACTTTCATTTTCGGCGCAGTGTGTGTATCCTGCGGTACGGAAGTTGCATTGGCACTGTATTGTTGTAGAGAAATCCAATCATACGGGCGGTTGAAAGACACCCAGACAGAGCTCAGACAGATTATTTCCAGCTTACCCAATCCAGTGCCAACCTCCGCTAGGGTTATGCTGTTACCATGGTCCTATTGAGAAAGTGGTTACTGATTATAAAATCAATATGAATACACTGTAAGCTAAACCCAGAAAAATTAAATGTTCTAGCGATAAAACAAAGAGATCATGTTAGTTGACTGGTTTCTGTCGAAATTCATTACAATCGGTCCAGGAGAAAATTAGGTAGTATTAGGAGTTAGATACATGTAGGAAGAACTTAAGGAGCTAGGTAGCTAGAACTAGGAGCTTGGTACATGTAGGTAGTCCTAGAAGCTAGGTAGGTAGTACCAAGAGCTAGGTACATGTAGGAAGTACTCGGAGCTAGGTAGCTAGAACTGCTAGGAGCTAGGTACATGTGGGTAGTACTAAGAGCTAGGTACATGTAGGAAGTACTATGAGCTAGGTACATGTAGGAAGTACTAGGAGCTAGGTAGGTTCATGCAGTACTAAGAGCTAGGTACATGCAGGAAGTATATTAGGAGCTAGGTACATGTAGTTAGTACATGGCGTCCGCCTTGAAACCGAGTTTCTGGCTTTGGCTTTGAAGGAGGAAAATGAATGAACTGTCCGTATGTTAGGTGGAAGTTTCGCCTGTGGAAAGACGGCTCTCTGTGTTCTCACACTTTTGGGGATTTGCTGTTTCCTCCTCTGAGGGAATACATAGATTTATTGGCAGATAAAAAAATAACCTGGTAGTTGGTAGAAGTGGTTGCGGCGAGTAATGTCCGTTCATCAGTTTGAGGAAATGGTGAGTGCGTGAAACTTGCTGCGAAAGCGGTAGGGAAGTGATGAAAGAGGTAGCTAAAAGTAGACGGATCGATGGAAAGTGTAGGGGATTCCGTGGTGTCTACTTATCATTCTGGCCCAGCCGCTCTGCGCGGATTCCATGGATCTTTGTTCACACTTCGTGCTCGTTTCCTCATTTGTACCTCAGCCCCCGTGAAGATGAGTTTCAGATATGGGAGCTTCAAAGTCTCCCTGATATAAAACTGCCAAGCTTACCGGAGATATGACACAAAAGTTGGGGGTTTTTTTTCAGAAAAATGCGTTTGTGTTACAAATACCTTTCTTCCGGCTTTCCATCTACCTACCTATCCAGGCATCTATCTAGTTATCTCTTTCTGTATCGCGTGCGGCACACGTCAGTTGTATTTCTTCCTGTATAACGACACACAAACATGATGTAAATCTTACCACTTCAAGCCATCAAACACAAACGTCCAATCTTCTTTCAAACTCCTGTACGTATGGAATCCATACCACATCCCACGCTTTTTATCCGCAGCCTTTGCGAGAGCCCGTGTTGGATTACAAACAAGCCCGTCTCCTTTTATTCGAAAATAGTTGTGTAAAGTGAACTCACATTTTAAGGGCACTCTTCCTGTTATTCTTCAATATCAATACGTACGCAAAGGTTGTCGTTTAATTTCACTCCACATCAGAAATATAGGTTACATTACCTACTGCCATTTCAGGACATCAATTACCAATATCGATTCAGCGTTGTGCAGGTTGCGGAGGGGTTTAGTGTTATTGTAAAGTCAGTGGCTTTTGGAACGGTGCCGATAGGATAATGTCTAAGATCGCGGAAAGGTCGTATAAAACATCACCATTCCCCGCAGGCGTTAAATGCGCACATTGATCCTTTCAACTTTTACCATTTCACCAGAACTTACGTTATGAACATTTCACGACACTATATCTGTGTATCTGCGCTCTTGGAACTATATCTCTATATATTTGCGACAAAGTTTATACATATAAATGAGAATACATTTACGAATTCTGCATGCTACCTAAAAAGTCACAGGGAAACTGTATAGTTTAAGGGACCAACTTTAGACTTGATCACATTTTTAGGTGTCTTTCGAAGTTGAAAATGGTGATTATGATGTTCAACAGGTTCTCCGAACTGAAGACTGTAACAAACTACTACATCGTGAACCTCGCTGTGACGGACCTGGCTTTTCTCATCTGCTGTGTCCCGTTCTCCGCCGCCAAGATCGCTACTCCGTCCTGGGAGTTTGGAGAGTTCCTCTGCAAGTTCGTCTTCTATTTCATGCAGGTAGGAGCCTACTCATGTAGCTATCGCTGCAATGGCTTACGCCTAACGTTACAGAAAGGGGTGACTGTGGTATATACAGTTATGAAAGGACATTGGATGCAGCTTTTTTTTATTTTGCATCCGATCCGGATCGGAACTGAACTTTATTTAGAAATGTGTATGCTTAAAGCAGAACACTTTCCAAAAAATGAAATCTGGGTCAGTAGTAACGCCATCGTATGAAGAGTTCAAAAGAGAGAAGAAAGAAGTTAAGATTCGAGTCATGAAGTTACTTTTTTGGTGTCAATTTGGTGGTTGCGCCGAGTTGACCAGATTTGCGATAGGCCGAGTTGGTAATGATCCGAGTCGTCCTGATTCCAAAAAAAGCACCAACGTTCTACAAGATTGAGATTTCTGTGATGCTTCTTGTTCAGCACCAAGGACAGCTAAGGGGTTAGTGAGAGAAACGTAGCTGCGTCTGGCTATTCTCAGGAACTGTTTTAGTTCAGTGTTATTATTGACTTCATGTCGTCCTTTAACCCTATCTAGACCGGGCTTTTTGGGGCTTCGTGGGACAGGGGGGGGGGCTCAATTACACGAAATCTTATTGATATTGGAAACCATGTGTAACCTGACATAAATCCCATAAAATTGTATTCTTAAAGCAAAAATTGCCTGTCAGAAACCCGTTGCCATAACAACACAAAAACATTATTTTATTCCACTAATGCAAAATTGTTGCCAACCATATTCTAGGAAAAGTCACCAAGTTTGGTGGTTCTAGCACAAGCCGTTCAGATGCTATTTGACACGAAAGTTGGCGCGGGCACTTTTAGCCCCCACCCCCAAGTCTAGATAGGATTATCTCTAGATCCATCACCAAACAATGTACATGACATTCGCCGCCTGCTAAATCAAATGTTCGACCCTCAAAACGGTATCCCGCGGGCGACTGACCCAGTGACATGTTTTCCGCCTATATCGGAAACGTGACGTCAGAAGTGGGTCAAAGGTGACCGGAAATCGATACCGCCCGCCGTCGCTAATTTCCGCCTCCGCCCCATAATTCAAACGGTCGATGCCATATCGCAGAACGGCACAATTAGTATAGTCTCCACCAGACTTCTTTTGCAGGCTGAATAAATCGTAGAAATAGGTCTAAAAAGGGTATTGATTGGCGAGAGAGGGTAGCTGGCCATCGACGATCAAATTGGCAGACCAGACTACAAGAGACTACAATTAGAACGCCCCGTCAATACCGTGATGTTTCGTCTCGCAGAGATAGGATTAGGGTTTTAGGATTAGACTTTTTCTGTGTACATACTGGTTTGTGTACATTCTTTTGTCACTAATTGATTTACCATTTTTCACGATACTGTCGTAGATTCATAATTGCAATGTTGCTTTTTATACGTACGTTGTGGGCCCTTTAGAAAGTTGATAGGTCCGGATATGGCATCCATCGTTTTGAATGACGCTCCGTGCCGTTCTTATACAGATGTAGATGGCCTCATTTAGTTATGCCGCTGCTCTCATCTGCCGCTATCATATCATATCATGTACATCAAAAAGGCTCAATTTTCAAAAGACTCTAAACTCATGTACATCAAAAGACCAGGTTTTCAAAAGACTGTGATACTGTTACGGATGACGCAAACGGATGTTTGAAGATCCCTTCCCACATTCGGTAAATCATGTGCATTCATGAACATATTCTAATTATTCTTCAATTTTCTAAACCCTCTTTAAATAATTCCTGGTTTTTATGTCTATACTTAACCCCCATTCAGTAGGAAGATAATGAAAGACACGTTTAGGTAGCTCCTGTCATACATTTTGTAACCGTTTGTTTTCACTATTGAATAACTGTTATTACATTGCAAAGTAACGCACTGGAACAATTGGATGATGAGGAATAACTATGTGGCACTGTGTAACACTACTTCCCAGCTCCTTTCATCAGTTGCACCAGAAACCGTGACATATCTGTGGAAGATATTATGACGACGTGAAATCGTTATTGATTACAGTCCTTTAATTGCCACTTCAGGGAGACTATTCTTTATCGCGGCTGCCAATAACAGTGAATGGATCGGAATGAATCGTCCTTAGTAGCTATAGAGACAGCGGGAAATACGTGAGTGGCAGTAAGAAGCTTCTTCAAAGTACTTTGACTGTCAATTGTTACAAAGTGTGGCTGTTTCTTATTAAACTCCAAACTAGTTCAGTGCTTACACACGGCCTTCACCGTTACAGTCAGCATCTCTTCTACAGCGACCTCAATCCAAGGTGCTCAGATCGGATTTTAGACAACTTAGCTGAGATTCGAAACCCATTTTTTTAATCCACAGTCGGGATTATGAACCATTTAACCCAGCCTTAATACAGAGGCAATCTCTGCCTACCGGTTTACCATGCGTCAATTGCCCTTTAAGAGTTCACCAGTTTCCGTACGTTCGGACTTAACGGATGAAACCAGCATGTTTACGTTTGGATGAAAAATACTGCCTCTTTTAGCAGTGCTATTTACCTACGGTCGTCCGAATTAAGCCTGCCTGCGATAAATATCCACTGTCACGCTACATTTATGCAGGTAAGCCATTAGCAAAACGATTTTTGACCTTTACGAAGCCACGAAGTTTTTAAAAGGGGTCGAAAATCTCTCACGGAAAAAAAGGCACCATTTGCCTTAACAACTACTGATGCAACGTAACCCCATTGCAATACACTTTCTTTGCTTGCAATCCCCTTCTTTTTCGTGCAAGGGTCAAAAATCGAGCGATGTACTGACTTTCTCCCTTTGAGACAGACTGAACCATTACAGCCATAACTATGGACATACTCACCCAGACATCCTACTCGGCCAGTTGCTACCAAAAAGTAACTCTATAAAAAGAAAGTCCAAAAAACGCACCAAGAACACAAATGCGTTTTTCTGAAAACCTGCTTTCCCAATTCAAGGCTGTCACTGCGCAACGCAACAGTGACGTCAGCCCTTAAGACCAAACGTGCAAGATACGGTACACAACACGTGCAGATGTATTTACCGTAATTACCTTCTGTCAACAGTAATCATATTTATCTTATTAGGAAACACATTGAAAACACCTCGTGTACGGAAAACGTGAGATAAGGATTTTACCTTGCAAGATACACGGATGGAAACTTCATTTCATGTGATTATCCTGTCCAAATTGAGTCTGTATACTTAGTAATTGACTGCCTTTCAATTGCTGTCACGTTTAGATTAGTTAATTTTCCTGAGCTTAGAAATCGTTTTTCTACAAAAGAATAAAAAAAAAAGTCGAGAAGGTAAGCAACCTAAACCTAGGACTTGATATGTAGAATAATTCCATGCTAATTTTAAACTACTCTGTTTCCATCCTGAAGATTGCATGCAACTAGTGAGCCTCATTGAAAGTATAGATCAACTGAAAAGACAGTGCAAATCTACAGAAGAACCATTGATTCTACTGAACATACTTGCCTGAAAACAAGTTATGTTCGTTTCATTAGCATCAACGTTGACTTAGCTTTGTTTTGACGTTGACTTTTTGCTTCATAGTTTTGGAGTACATGCCTGTTTAACTACAGATTCCCTTAATTACTAAAGAAAAGTAGCAGTTGCTGTATGCACTTGAGACGTCTGACAGTTTTCAAAATTTATCCAGTTGCTTGAGTAACTTTTTTTTCTTATGAATCGCAGTACCTGGATGTCTAACCTTCATTGACGTCACGTTAACTTAAGTATTGTGAACCCTAATCAACACTTGAACGTCCATCTCTACTTTTCTGTGAATCTACGTAGCTCGCTTCTGTGCGAAAAGGCAAAGCCGGGTGTTTAGCTAAAAGCCTGTCCTTGATCTTGCTGGCCTTGGTGTCCATACTCATGGTTGTGGTGTTTTGGTTTGCCTTAGCTGAACCACCATGTCAATCAAATTTCCTAAAGTACCATGGGCACATCTGGGGTTGGAGCCGTGACACCTGCCTTAATTGCTTGACCTTTGATTTCAAAAGCCCTCTGATAAATCAACAAATCTCTGAGCATGTCAGGCATGCCGACGTGTGGCATATCCCACCCGCCGTGACTGAATCATGAATGGATGACGTGGGAGATCTCTGTTTGTAGTATGTGATCAGACTAGGAGAGAAAGGAAAAAAGATATCAGAATAAAAATTAATACCCTTAACATTAAGGTGAGATCTTAAGATACTCTAAGAGTTTTTTTGTTCTCTGAGCAGAGCGCACGCCCTGTAGCTAAAACTTTATCCTCTAAGGCCTCATTTGTAATACATTTCTTTAAAACGGGGGTCGATACCAACTTCAAATTGCCTGCAACCAGTCCGTCCACGTCTGAGTTCATTATTCAGCAACTGGTCGAACAACAACAAAATTACGCATTTTGATTCGTCAGGGGACTTTTGAAATCAAAGGTCAACTTTAATTGGTTAATAAAATATGTTTTTCGTGTCGCAGGTGACCGTCCAGGCCACGTGTCTGACCCTGGCTGCCGTCAGTATTGACCGGTATCTCTGCGTCGTCAAGCCGTTTGAATCCCTGAACATCCGGACCCCCAGGACCTGCCTGGCCATCAGCGGAGGGATATGGATTGGTGGGTCTATTTTTTTTCTTTCACACAATGCGCTGTTTTACCTCCTTTGAAGCAGATATCCTTCCGCGGGAGGGTACTCTTTTCGGTCGTGTCTGTGTGAGTTTGATGGGTTTATTTGATTTTCGGTACATGATTTCTTATTTGGGTCCAGAGAAAGCGTTTTTGTTGGATCAGCATATTCAGATATTGCAATAAAAGGGATGTTGTGAACTTAATGCATTATGTACTACCCGGAGGTTTGAAATGTTAATAGATGGATTATTCTAGATTCAGCACATAGAACCACATGAAGATAACTCGGTATAATTGTGCTGATTGTGATGATATGATTCATAACATCATTGGGTAATCATTTGTGATCATCATAGCAATTATAACACCACACGATACAGATCTGATACAATCAGCAGCTCATACACTGCTGATTCCGATGTGATTCAAATATGATCCAGCGGGAAGGAAGGAACGAATAAATGAATGTTGTTATCTTTGGAGACAAGTTGTCTCCAGGTACGATTGGAGACGAATATATCGACCTAAGACGTTCTGTAAGTAATGATACACCCTTAGTATGATCCATTGCCCTGACGGCAACCATCAGTCACTGCTAATGACGAGTGTGCTGCAACGATCCGTCTTCGTGTCCGATAGTGCTATAATTGTGCTGATAAGCAGAACTCATGATAAGTCATTGATGTCATCATAATCAGTACGATTCATCTTGATGTCAGACACCGTTATGCATATCATAAATGTTAGACTCACGAAGGTGCTAACTTTCTAACGATATTTGGGGTCGTGTGGCGTAGCGGCAGAGTGCTCGACTCGAAACCTAGAGGTCCCGGGTTCGAGTCCTGACATGCCACCGATCTTGTGCCCTTGGGAAAGTCACTTTACACGGCTTTCCTCACTTCGCTCAGGTGAAAATGAGTATTGTATTGTCCCCTGTGTTGGTGGTGGCATTAATATATTAAGTTGAAAATACTTGAGTGTGCCGTCACCACGTCTTGTGATTAGATGTTGGAAATAACAAGAAAAAACTATATTTTTTCCAGTCTGAGGTTTAGGCTCGTTTTTCTTACATGTTCTTAGGCGTACGCGTTTTCGGGCTTTCTTTTGTTGCACTGTTTCTTTTTTTCACCAAATGGAAACATGTACTGTACTGCACTGTAAGCTGATTTGATACGGTCTTACAGCCACAAAAAACTTCTGCTTGGATACTAGCCTAACTAGGTCAACCAGCCTCTCTGAAGCACAATTACTATGGCTTTTAATCTATGTTTGCACGCAAAACGTAATACTTTGATCCAAAGTGATCCAAGTAAAGTACAGATATTTAGGCCCTCCACCATTATATAGTCTGTATGAGAATTCCCAGATTAAATTCAGACCAATATAATCCTCTACATTCTTTTCAACTTACTCTGTGGGTTAAACATCAATAAAACGATCAGAAGGCACAAAAGAAGCCACCCTTCCCTGATTTTTTTTGGCTTTTTGAAGGTGTATCCATTAACCGGACATACCCCCTGTGATTCGGAAAGATTAAAAGTCTAACGTACAGGCGGTGCTTCAATTACACTTAATAATTGATACTACACACAGGAAGCGCATTGGCATTTGTAGCTTTCCTTTGTGGCTATACATGTTGATTCCGTACCATCTATTACGCGTGGTGTTCTGAGTTACCGTACATTTGAACACTGTATGAACACCTGTATTAAGTAGCACAGTGATATGGAATGATATAATACATATGTATCAGATACATTTAAAATCTACGTGGTACAGCCTGGGACTAACTGTTAGAAGCAGAAGTTGTTGAGAATGTCACCACGATTCGTCAATCTTTTGTCTTCCTGGCACACTTCAGGAACTTCACAATGTTTATTCATAAGCAACGGTTTCAGGGGTCTTAAAGTCTTAAGTGGTATTTCCTGGATTAGTCAAGAACATAATCAACGATGTAGTTAGTCTACATTGCTACATGATTCATATACCTCTGAATGGTTACATATTGGTTAATGGTAATGCTGACTGTATGAAAGATGCCAGAAAGTGCATTAGGCAGTACCACAGTGATTGACAACAGTACTAATAATTTGCAAAATCCCTATCCTTTAATAGGACACTTCATAACCCAATATGTCAATTCTAGTACCCTTGTATGCCAAACTGATAACCCTTATGTGCCAGGAGTCAAAAGGAGGACAAAGGAACTAGTCATGTATCATCTATGGTTCAGTCTCAGAAGACTATCTATCTCTGCGCCTCTGGAGTGTGGCTTCTGCTGTGACTCAACCGCGACGGGGGCTGACATAGTTTACCAGATACCTTTGCCCCAGTATCCTTAGTACAAGGAAGGATTTAAAAACTATTACGCACGACAAGTTCTGTAAGCATATGAGCTTTTAGACGGCATCCACCATCTTTCATCAGCTAATGACGAGGGCAGTTCCCTTATTTCTGTTGTTGTGATTTTACTGTAGGCTCGTTCCTGTTGTCGCTCCCCCTGCCGCTCCACATGGAGACGGTGACTCACGACTGGTACGGCGCCGGAAACATCCTGTGCACGGAGGTGTGGCCGTCTCAAGTGGCGCGTCAGGCCTACATGGTCTACACCTTCCTCATCAGTTACGTCATCCCCCTGGTAACCAGCATGACGTCACACTCCCTCATCGTCCGCCATCTTTGTGTCAAGGTTCACATCCTGAGCCACATCCAACAGCAGGCCATCAAGCGGAAAAAGAAGGTGTGTGTCTGTCTGTATGTGTGTATGTGTGTGTGTGTGTGTGTGTGTGTGTGTGTGTGTGTGTGTGTGTATGTGAGTGTGTGTGTGAGTGTGTGTGTATGTGTATGTGTGTGTGTGTGTGTGTGTGTGTGTGTGTGTGTGTATGGTTTGTGTTTAAGGGGGTATGCATATTTCTCGTGTATTCCTAATTATCAAGCAACTAGATATGATTGCAAAATCATATAGTTGCTTGAGTAAGTTTTTCTCCAAATGTATTCCGTAAGAAACTACGTGTGTTCCATACCTTGTCACGTACGTTCCTCAAACCGCATGCTAATGCCGACTTTTGCCAAATAAGATAATTATTAAGATAGCGAGTCAAATCAAATGCCTCGCATTCGCCCCGTAAAAAGATTCCCCGGGCTTCTAGATTACTTATTATTGATGTCCTTTGTGCTCGACCAATACCAATTACTTGATAACGCCTGAGCCACCTTCCTCAGGGCAATGCTGCCATTTTCTGACAAAACTATCACTATCTCATATCGACGAGGCGGTTCCCTATGCGTGGGTGACTTTGTGGTAACAACCCCCCTTCCGTCAAGGCCGAAAGGTCCACTTTTTATCTTAAGGTCCGAAATTTTTCTTTAAAAGGTGGACTGGGATCCTAGAAAGCGGGGCTGGAATCCTGGAAAAACTGCTCACTTTGTCATTGAATAAAAAGTTATTCCTGATTTGTCCTTTGCAATCCTCTCAAAGATGCAGGAAATGCCATTTCAGAAGGTTCAATTTTCAAAATGGTTACTACGACATTTTACAAGCTAGAAGGAAGCCTTGAGACTGGCTGCTGACAGAGAAAGCTTGGCTTCTTTGACTGCCTCATGCGTCACGAGACGCGGGAGCCCCTAACTCTAAATAAGGAAGTCCCTACGACAGTGGAAAGAACCCCCCCCCCCCATCAAAATCCTGGCTACGGGCATGTATCTGAGCCTGGTTATCTACCCTTCTAGGTGACCCGGATGGTGGCAGTCGTGGTCGGCCTCTTCGCCCTCTTCTGGCTGCCGAACCATGTGATGAATATCTGGTGGATGACTGCCCAGCCCAAGGAGATCTCCCACGTCGTGTTTGTCATGAAGGTCGTGTCCCTGTGCCTGTGCTACTGCAGCTCGGCCATCAACCCCTTCGTGTACGCCATCCTGGGCGACAACTTCCGCCGATGCTTCAGGAAGCTGTTCCCGAGATGCTTCAGGACGAACGCCGTGGCTCCTGTCGTCGACAACAACTCGTCCGGCAGTAAGTACCTGCACCGGGCCCGGCGGCTCAACCTCCCCGGCTCCAGCAACCTCAACTCGCCGCCGAACCGCGTCGTCATCCCGTCTACTGTTCAGATGGTGCGGGCTGGCCCAAGTCACGAGTTCGAACTGTATGGGTAATCTCCAAGCTGATCATATGGTGGCAAGGCAGTATCCATTGGCCAGAGGAGTGTTCATTAGCCACCACCTTCGGTGGCCGTGCAAACTCCTCTGGCTAATGAACTCTGTCTTGCCACCGACAGGGATCTACTTGGAGATTACTGTATGGGTAGTTGCGACAAATAAATTCACCAGGTCGGTAGAACATAGGATGTTGCGGTTTTCTTTTACACAACCAGTACTCAAACTTTGCTTGCGTTTTGATGTCTATCAGGCTACCAGCAGAAGCTCTGAGACATGTGATCAAAGTACCAGTTGTGTTTAAGAAATCCCAACATCCTGTATGAATAGTAAAATGTGTTCAATATTGATTAATTGATGACATGTAAATGCTTGCTGGTCAAGCGTTTACCCTTGCCAAATGTCTATAAAAGATTTACTCAGCCAAAACGACGGATTTGCAGTGTTTCAGGCATCTTTGATCTGCTACTTAAGTCACGTGCCTGTTAATTCACGTAACCAAAGTGCTGGGATAGCTTTCCTGAAGACGGCTGAATGATCAAATGTTTGTTATTTTGTGACAACGTTAACGTTGTCTAAGAGACAGCAAGGAGGTTTAAAAAGAAACCTCCTTGGAGACAGAGAACTAAACTGTTGGGAAACTGTCATTTGATGTATATTTTACCATCTGATGTTTTTAGAGTGGTGAGTTGGTTGCGTTGCGAAAATGTTGTCTGGGACACAAAGTAGTAAGCTGTATTATAATTTGATGTATATTTTACCATGTCTTAAAGGTTTAAACGAACTTATGTGTTGATTCAGACATCGTATTTATGTCAAGAATTGTACGGTTTGTATTCGCAGTAAAACAGTTGAATGTAATATATTTTTGATTCTTTTAGTACGGTGAAGATGTGGAGTAACTTCGATATGTTTTGTCTTATATATTATAAAAAATATATGTACATACACGGTATGTTTTGGAGATATATTTGTGAACTATTTGTTTATTTCCTTCTCACATTTGTCCATTGGACCATAGAGGGGTAAGATACATATTATTAAATAGATAATAACAGAAGAAACAGAAGGGTGTCCATGTACATGGAACATCGATGTTATAAACTGCATGCACTAAAGATGTTGCACAAGTGTTTAAAAATGTCGTTAGAGGGTTAGAAACTGCCGTGGTTGAGGGACACTGCATCCAGGCTCTCAGGTTGACATTAAGTCTGTGCCATATACACACGAGTCTCGGGATATACGAGTAAGCAAACTGTTGTGTTTCTGTACTCAAGGTATCATCATATTAGACCTGAAGCTTCTTGTGCTTCTCGAAGAACAGCATTTAACATATGCAACTCGTATCTATATGTTGATCGATGCAGTTTTGTAGAACATGTTGTGCTTTATTGGATTTGTTGAGTTTTCTTGAATTTGTTGAGTTTAATTGTTGTTGGAAAACGTTTTGCCGTTTTGTGTTCGATATTGATTAAGCCTTAGTACTCTTAGTTCCCGTGTAACACCATTGTGCATAACAATACATGTATTAAGGAATAAATGTAAAAAAAATATTACCTTCTATCACGCCCATATCGTTTTACACACACTGCCAAGCTTCTAACGAATGAATAAAAAACCCTTTATTGTTCATTCATGCCTTAATAAAGTGCTAGGTACAGGTCAATCGTGGTGCCATAACGATGAAAAATGTACGAATAGAAAGACCGGTAAATTGACCCCATTCCACCTTTCAGTCACAAATGAATGAATGTACATGTATGCCCCCGTAACCATGAAGCATTTAATGACGATCTGTGAACTGCCCCAGTTTCACACACATCACTATTAACTAAGACTCTTGCAGAAGCACTCTGTTGTCGCCTTGGGTAAATCCAGTTTTCCTGTGCTTCTAACGTGCTCGAGGTACGGGACGGTTCCGTCTGCATTCGGGCTCTCCCTTCTGGGCGAAAGTTCTTCAAATGGCAAGGCACCAACCATTGATTAACCTACTTTGAGTTACTATGAGGTGACAAGCACGTTTTTACGCGTCCACATGAAAGCCAATTATATTTCTGTGACTGGCAGATTCAGTTCGCGTCCTTTAGATCAATGCTCTTTGATAAAAACTTAATCTTAACTTAAATTGGGTTGCAGTATGTTGTTAGTAAAAATCCATAGCAACCAAATAATCATGTTTTACCTCAAAGACTGACACGTGCCATGCACAGATGAAATTGGTTGCTGCTGAAGTACATCACATTTTATCCTAGAAATTACATTTTAGTGTCTTTCTGATATCAACTCAACTCCATAGCAACCAAATAATCAGGTTTTACTTCAAGGACCGGCGCTTACTTTGCTGCCAAAATGCATTACATTTTATCCTTTAGTTTATTTTTCTGACGTCAACTAAACTCCATAGCAAGTAAACAGATTTCTCTTTAAAGAGGACCACTGCTGATCATAGAAAACGCGAATAACATTCAACTTGGTTCCTATCAACGTTACCGTTATCCAAAGGAAGAAAAGTTTTTCGAATTCGAATATTTTGATAACGTTACAGGTTTTTCTAAACCGAAAGCTGCTGATTTAAAAAAAAACAAAGGAGTTTACCGACCAGAAGACATGACAAAGCCCATACAAGGGTGAACAAAAACTTGTCATCTTTGTTTATTTATCTATTGATTTATTCATTTCATCATAAAATGGCTGGGTAGCCCTTGTTGAAAAAGAAAGCGTTTTGGCCCTGATAGACAGACGAAGTAAGAATAAATAGATAACGCTATTCTCAGGTGTAATTTTGTGTGATATCAGGCATGTTAACGTCTGGATTCTTCACAGAGACGACGATAGCCAGTCTGCTTCCATTAAACACTTAGTCGTACGGTACTTGAGACGTATTGATTGGTAAGTCATGCCTTTCAATTATTTTGCAGCCATTCTTCAGCTTATTAGAGCAGAAAAACCGTTATCTCGGCAAGACGTGGAATCAATTCAAATCGATTCAGATTACCGTTTTCTTCACATACTAATTGAAGCTAACTTTCATGTAATGGGCTTTCCTAACAGAAAGCCAGATGAAGACTATGTCCAACAATGTCGACCAAACATTTTATCTTTTTTGAGAACAAGACTGTGCCTTTGTGATCAGAAAAAACGTGAAGAGACCTGGATTCTACAAGAACTTACCAATATGTAGGCCACAGGGTACCGACATTTACTGATTTCGTCCTAATGCGAAGAAATGGAAACTGAAGTAACATGGCCATATAGCCAAAACCATCATGGAAGGAACAGTCCAGGAAGGATTAAAGAGAGGCAGGTAACGGATAAGATGGAAGGATAACATCAGAAAATGGACAGGCATGGCACTAAGAGGAGCAGTAAATCGATAAGGGTGGGGAAAATTGGTCTTCAGATAGTTTGCGGTCTGCATCAGCGGTGATCTTAACGTTGGACGTAGCTCTGACCACTTTTCAAAGAACTAGAGCATGAACCTCCGGAGAGACGACAGGGCAACTCAAGAAACATGCATCAGAGGCAGGTGATCCACAGTACGTGAGATTTGTCACGTTCCCACGCTTTCCCGACATCCATTTAGTCTCTTTGACCTCCCTTACACATGGCAAACCCGTTTGATATGCAGTATCTTAAGTTGATGTGGTGGTGCAGCACTTAAGACACATTCAGATTAATTGCCTGTGACCTTTCCATCCATCTGCGTGACGGTGCAAATGTCTGGGCTTGTTACGATTCTAGTTAGCGACGACCTGTATGTAAGGACGAAATACGTGTGAATTACCCTCTAGGTCTCAGCAAGATAGACTGACGTAATAAAGTGTCGACGCTCAGAAATACTAGTAATCTCTACCAGACTAACAATGCGGGCTTGGAATTGCGATCTTAGCATTTCCATGGGCCTTTTTGTGGCATCCTACTATCCATTACTCCTTAGGATTGCCTTGTGGAGGCTAGCTTACATACATGATGTGTGAACTGTTCTCATAGATGGCAAAGGACTTCGATTAACTTGTGTGATAAAACTGTGTTCCTCCTCTATATAATTGCCATATTCGTATTCATGATTTTGAGGAGGGGGTTTCTCATAAGCATCCTGAATGATGGCAAAGATGGCAGAGGATTCATTCACAATCCTCAATAAATGAATGAATGTGAATAGAAATTGTTGGTAGACATTTTCAAAATATCGAGAGGCATTTTCAGTGTAAATGCTACAGAATTGTAGTACAAATCTACACAGCTTTTCTACCAACTGTTGCTCTTACCGATAATGATGACATAAGTGTGTTCCGCAGAAGATATTGTCTAGACAACATTAAGCTTCAATCCGTCAATCCATACCGCAGTGTCTTTCCAATTAGCATTAATCAGATAGATTTTAGAGACACGTTCGCAAACCGCACCGGAAAGCTTTCCGAGAAAAGGCATTACCCGTTCAAACAACCAATACGCTACAGTTAATAGGCTGCGGCAAATGTCAAAGGACTCCAGGCATTAGAGCCACCACAGATATTTTGAGCCTCTCGGTTTACATTGTAATCCTCCCTGCCCACGGTCCAGATGCTTCCGTGGTTTTGCTGATAAACCCCTTGATAACCATGCCCAGATTTGTAGTGCCATAGTAACGGTTGGTAGTACGTCTTTAAACACTCATATTTTCTGATAGAAGTGATGGATATTCATCACTTAAAGACCAAAATGCTAGGAATTATATGCTACATCCATTTCAGGTATAAGAAATGACCCAACTGTTTGAACAAATGAATTAAGAAAGATTAAGAAAGTAATATATACATAATGTATGCAAAAATTCCCCTAAAAATGAATATTAATTGGCTTTATCTCCAGAACGGTGTCAGATATAAAAAAAATTAACATTTTTGTAATCCTCATGTCAAGATCTACCAGTGTACCAAATTTCAGGAAGAAATATTGATTTTTAGATTTTGGCCTTTCCCCCATAAATATGCATATGGCTCATTAACATTGCATCTTTA